GGCAATGAAACGGGAAGATTTGGGGTGGGGCTTGCAGCGCGCTTTGAAGTCGTAGGGAAGACAGTCACAGGCCTGCCGGGACCCGAGTGGCTTGCCATTTAGTCTACAATGGAGCGTTGGACGGGTGAGCATCGCGGTTACGCAATTAATGCTTATTATCAAAATGGCGAGAGTTTAGTGCAAACGCGACGGGATTTTTGACAGCATTTTAACATACCACGTTACCAACCTGTTCCGTCAGACAATGCGATTAAAATATGGGTAAACAACCTCGAGCAAACTAAATCAACGTCTAGAAAAAGAGGTGGTAGTGCCAGAACGATTCGAACCCCTGAAAATATCGAACGTGTTCGACAAGCAATGTTAAGAAGTCCACGTCGATCGGCCATCCGTCACGCCACACGCCTTCGAATAAGTGACAGATCGGTGAGAAGGATACGCCATCAAGATCTTCGATATCACCCGTATAAAATACAGGTTGTTCAATCTCTTCACCCGGGTGATTATCAACAGCGTCTCAGATTTTGTGAGGTTATGCTTGCCAGGTTGGAAGAAAATGGTGGTAACAACTTGTGGATGAGTGATGAGGCACACTTTCATCTCTCCGGTTTTGTTAACAAACAAAATTTCATGTACTGAAACACCTCTTCATGCTCAGAAAGTGAAAATATTTTTTCAACAATAAAATTATTTACGAAATCTTCCCGTTTCATCGCCGAACCCTGTACATAATCAGTTCGTTTTGTTATTAATGTAACAAGATTCCAAAAAGCTTTTGACCATCATTTAGACACATATATATATAAGCATTTTTTATACTAACCTGACATGAATCTGAAAAGGGACCAACCCCTTTAGCACAAATCATTCTGTCAGTGAGAAATTCGTACCCGGTTGTCTGTTTGCAAACACTCTTTTTAACAATGCTCAACGTGGTTTCTTGCAATATGAGGGAAGTCGATTGAGGTATGAATGGTATAGTGACGCCCCAACCAGAAACCTTCACCATTTTTCCAGCCAAACTTTCTCCGCCAACTTTGGAAATTGATATCGGTTGAATCCTGCTTGACAGCGGCAGGGCCTCTACTAATTTTATGACCGCTATGTCATAATCAAATGTGGCAAACTTTGGGTGAGGGATGACCTTGTCGACATCTAATTAAAAAGATAGGATCTGCAACTTTCGTAGAATTTATTATCATTACTATATGAAACATTTTCACATTTCAATAGTGGTTAATATATAAAATATTAATATTTTTCATTATTATTCATTTTGATATTAACCACTATTAAATGTCAAAGCGTTTCATATATATATAGTACTATAGGGTTGTTCGGAAAGTCATTTCGTTTTTTTTTGTGGAAATGAAAGACAGTTTTCGTATAATAAACAAATACTTTATTAAATTATATATTGACCGTTCTGGTCCAACACCTTTTGCCATCTTTCTGGTAGTAGCATAATTCCACGCTCATAAAATTTTTG